TTTGACTTTGATGTCATGAATCATTTGTTTGAATATTGTTTTTATGCTAGCTAAAGATAAGAAATGATGATTGTAAATATACTCTTATCAAACCTTCAAAGTAAAATGATATCTTTAAAAATCTTGCCTAAATATTGGATGATTTTTTAAGGACTTATCTTTTAAGGCCAACAATAAAATTCGCATCATGTGCTTCTAATTTTTAGGAATTAATAAAATGTTCAAAGATAGTGCATCCTCAAGAGTCATGAAAAATGAAAATGCCAATAAGATGATAGAGTGGAAAAGCTCTAGGGAAAGATAAGAGGGATAGTTACGAAATGCAGCAAAACATGGACAGATAGTTCATCGAGTTAAAATAGATTTTAGCAAGGTTATCCAAAAGAAAAGGGATTACTCAAATACAAGAGGCAAAAGAAGAAATAGCCATGAAGAATAAATACATGCAGCGTTCATATATCCTTACATTCAAAATCTTCATGTTACTCAAGCACCACCGATAATCTAGCAACATCATGTAGTACTTTTGCTAGGCCATCACCGGTTTAGATAAACCTTAATTCCGGGACTACTTCTTTTAACCTGGTTACTGTACCTAGCTTAGATGATCCTAAAGAAAAGGAAAAACTAAAAAGGGTATCAAAGTTGATAGAAAATATAGAGATGAAGAATAAATATGACCGACAGGAAAATAGGTTAAAGGTAATTGAGGGGCATGACATAAATGAGAGTGTCGATAGTACTGAACTAAATTTAGTGCATGATCTTATCATTTTATCAAAGTTTAAGGTCTCAGATTTCAAAAAATATGATGAAACAAAATACCTTGTAGCATACATCTTAATGTATTGCCAGAAGATGATGAGCCATACTCATAATGATAAGTTACTAATCCATTATTTTTAAAATAGTTCCACTGGCTCTGCAGTAAGATGATATGCCCAGCTGGATCAGAGCAAAATTCATTATTGGAAAGATCCGGTTGGGGCTTTATAGCACAATATAAACATATGTCAAATATTGCACCAAATAAGTTAACCTTGCAGAATATAAAAAAAAAAAAATCGCCCGTAGATTGAAAGATCTTACAACCTAAATACAACCATCGCTAACCAAAAAAGAAACAACTATCTTGTTTGTCAATACCCTTCAAGCCCTATATTTTGATAAGCTCATTAGTCATGTCATAAAAAACTTTACTGATGTGGTGTTTACTAGGGAGATAATAAAAAATGCTATCAGGAATGGTAAGCTTGGGGGATGGGAGATTGCTAATGCAAAGAATGTTGAAAATGTAGCTCAAGTTATAGGCCACTGGGGGCAACAATTTGGAGATATCACTCCACTTTATCATTACCAAATGCATCAAGCCCATCTAGCATCAACCCATTATCCCTATCAACCAACATTGACAATAATTTTTTAGTTAATGACTGTCCCTCAAACACTTGTTTATATGCCTAGCCCAATCATTACATCCATGTCAAACTAGTTTCAAGGTCTAGCCGAAAGATAAATAATATAAAAAGAAACAACAAATAAGCAAGCAAAAAGTTGGGCATTTTCATAATTTAAAGGGTATTTTCATAATTTCACACCTCTCATAGTACTACTATTATTACAAATGCAAAAAAAAATCATCAAATACTAATAAATTATAATTTGAAAAGTTTTACGAAAATCGACCTCAAAAAGGTCAAATTACGAAATTACTTCTAAGAGGTATTTTGATAATTTTACACATATTAAGATACAATCAAGGTTTTAAATTTTTAAAAATCATCAAATATTATAAAATCATGATCTGGAGTTTTTGTGAAATTTTGACCTCCGAAATGACAAATTACGAAAATACCTTTAAGGGGTATTTTGGTAATTTTACACATTTTAAAGGTGTAATATAAGTTTTTTGTGCATAAAAAATCATCAAAAAAATATTTATTTATGATTTAAAAGTTTTCATAAAAATTCGACTTCAAAAAGCCCAAATTATGAAAATACCCTTAAGGGCATTTTGATAATTTTACACTTCCTAAGGAAAAAAAATTTTTTAAGTGCCTTAAAAAATCACAATTTTTCATTTTAAACCACATTGATTTCAATTTGGTTGTAAATTTTGAGGATTGGCTTGGGTATTTTTATCAAGTTTGATCAAGTTTGATTAATTTTGACTTTGTTTGACTAATTTTGACAAAATTTACTTTGGAGCATTTGGGTTAATTTGATCTAAATTTTAATTTTATAAACTTGAAAAAATGTTGGATTTGTACCAGGTTCAATTTTAAGTATTTTACAAATGGTCAAAATTTTATCCGAATAAATTTAGGTGTCAACAACACCCAAAATAACAAAAAGAAGGAATAGCTGCACATTGCATGAAGAAAGTATGAGTTGAAGTTGGCACCCAAATTTGAATTACATGAAAAGCTAATGGGAAATAGCTAACTTGGCAATTTAGAAGCTCCTAATTGGTCTACATTCAAACTTTCTAGAGATGCAAAGATCAAAGGAAGAAAGCTTGAAAAGAATAAAAAGGAAGAGAGCAAATGGGAAGCTTATAAAGCAAGCTTTGATGACATTGAAATATCTAACTTATATGGCATCCTTATTGGCTTCTTTTTGTAATGTGATTAGATAGAACACATCATCCTTAGTCTATAAATAGGAGTAGTGGTCGGCTAAGTGGTTAGAAAGTTTTAGAGAGTTAGTTAGATTTACATTCTTGCAATTTATATGTTTTACATTTTTTTCTCTCTAAGCAGTTTTCTCTTTTGCATTTAAAGGGCTGTTTCAAGAGAAAATCTTTTAATTTCCTACAAAATTTACTTTTCTAGCACTTAAACTTCATGCACTTTTAAGATTCTTGAAATGAATGTTAATTTTCTTTAAGATTTCTTGCACTTTTACATGCTTTTCCTTTATAATTTCAATGTTATTTGACAAATTTTGTTTCTGAACATTATTTTGATTTTCGTGGCTTTTCTCCTTCAATTTTTGCTTATTTTGCTTAAATTTTTTTTAAATACTCTCAATTCATAAGACATTAGATATGAAATTTTCACTGTCAAATTCAATCTACATTTTTTTTCTAAAAATCTTTGAAAGTTACGATTGAGAATCAAGTAGCAAAGGCAATAGTAGGTGGTGACAGAATATGTGGTGGTTTCTTTCCTTGCTAGGTGATCAATCCACTTCTTTCTTAATTTGCATTTGTTCTTTTACTTGTTTACTTCATGTTCTTTAATTCCTTGCAATTTAATTGATGTTTTCTGCTTGTTTGGCTAAGTTCTTTACTTAATGCTCTATTTTCTCTATTTTTGCATTCAATAATGTTTCTAGTTCATTAAACTTGTTGTCTTACTTTTTGAGCTGATTTCTTTTTATGCATTTAAAATTTACTTGTTGATCTATATTCCTTGAGTTTGGTTTAAGCTCACTTGGTTTCTAGAAGTGTAGATCTAAGATTTAAATTCTGGAAATTTGAATTTATTGCACTAGATCTAGTTTCGGTTCTTCAAATTTTAAATTTCCTTGCTTTTAATTCATGTAATTTCAATATGATGCAATTAGATCTAGTTTTCATTAATGTTTTTACATTCATATGCAATTAATTTCTATGCATTAGAATCATATCTATTTAATTTCCTTGTTGATTTATGACTTTCACGCTTTAAGCTTTAGTTTTGGTCATGTATTTCATTTTTTGTTTTGTGCACTCTCCTTGCAACTTTATATTTTATATTTGATCATTTTCTTGATATTTGATCAAGCTAAATACAATTAAAGTATTTTGATAACTTGTACTTAGTCTAGACTTCCCAAGTGATCAAGTCCTCAAGGGAATGATACTCTACCGTATTACTTTATTATTTAAACATTGTTCTACACTTACAACCCTAATCAAAGTTCATGTTTGACCAAGTTAACTTTAGGTTTGACTTTTAACTTTTTTTTTTCATCATCCTTTTTTTATTACCAATCCTAGAATCAACTTGCTCAAAAACCCAAAATATCTTTGAAATTCATAATTCTTGAAAAAGACCCAAATCAGGATTACTAAGTACCAAATTTGATTAGAATATGTCCGGACAAAATTAAGTATCTACATTTTGATATACAAAGCAATGCTACAATAGGTCTAGCGGATTTGATACATCAAGATGCAAGCCATCCTAACGAAGAAAGATTTAATGTCTTCCTAATTGCTATGTGGGTCCTTTGGTACAAAAGGAATGACGAACTACATGGTGGGAAAAAAGGAAGTTCTCAACAAATAGTTGGTTCTGTAATGTCTTACATGAATGAATACCTACATGCTTAGTTCTCAACAAATATTTGGTTCTATAATGTCTTACATTAATGCATACCTACATGCTCAATCACAAAAAGAATCCCTTTTGTATCACAATTCACACCAATTTATGAGATATTGTCCATTTCATCTAATTGGGCCTTATGGTTTTGCCCCACAAAAAATGCCTAACATGTTGAAGGTAATGTGAACATTTATATCATAAAATCAACTCTAGTGCACAACCAACGTGAGATTTGTAGCTTTTCTTTAAGACCATAACATCTTCGTTTACTCCAATAAGAGCTCACTGTCCTCAATAGCACATCACTAGTACTTCTATAGCTGGCTTTGATATCAAATGTTAGGGTCTATACCAATTTGTTAAGTATTATTCACTTTGGATCATTGGATCTTACGGTTTTATCTCACAAAAGTCATTTCACAAATTGAAGGTGATATATGAAATTTGTAGTTACTTTCTAAAACCATATCACTTAGCAACCGCCTCCAATGTTAAAGTTAATTTAGATGGGGCTTTCAGTAAAGAGCACCGAGTAGGAGGTGTGGAGGCTATTATCGAGATTTTGAGGGGCTTATTCTAGGTGCGTTAGCTACAAAGATTAAGGAGCAATAGATCCCTGGACTGTAAAATGCCGGGCTGCAACTAAATCTCTAACTTTTGCCAGGCACATGGGTTTCACGAAGATTATATTTAAAGGGATTCATTGGGTCTGATAAATCGTTATATTGGAAGGGGATTTATTGGGTGTGATAATTGTTTGAAAACTGATGGTACGGATTTAACTCCAACCGGCATCTTCATGGATGAGGCTCGGATAAATGCAAAATCGTTTCATCAATGCCAGGTGACTCATATTAGACGTGCAGGCAATAGAGCGGCGCATGCATTAGCTAAATATGGGGAAAAGGTTGATGATGACTCTAATCGGATAGAAGAGTGCCCTGAGTTTCTATTGTCTATTATTAACGAGCATTGTATATGAGTTAATATTTAATGGAGATATCCAGTTTATATCAAAAATATATATATTCCACCGCACGCAAACATTTTGAAACAGTAGAAATTAAAAGCCTCTTCATTTTCCTCATCTGGTAAAGTAAGTACGGGGCGAGAAGAGTCGACGCGTTGAGAACATCCGCATGTACCGAGGCGAAGCAAGGCCGTCGATGGACCTATATTCCGACATGATGAACCCCTCTCTCTCCCCGCGGCCTCCGCCTCTCATCATGTGCCCCCCGTTGAAGGTCCCATATTTCACCAACTTCACCACCCATGATTTCTTCTTTTGGGGGCTTTTATGCCCTGCGTTCATTTTCGCACTCAGATACTCCTTAACCGCATGCAGGCTCTGCTCGAATACCTCCATCGGTGGTGAAACCAGGGGGTTCCCTTCTACGCAAAGCTTCTGGAGCTTCTTCATGCATCCGATGGAATCAGGCAAACTTGTTATTTTGTTGTAACTAACGTCCAATTCCACAAGGGAAACGAGGAGGCCGATGGAGTATGGTAGGTTTTCAAGGTACTGGAAGTTTTGGCTTACATTCAGAACCTCTAGTTTGATTAAATTCTCCAACTCTTGGGGGAGAGACCTGAGGCAATTGAGGCGTGCATCGAGAACTCGTAGGGAAGTCAGGTGCGTGATGGATTGGGGGAGGAAAATCAGCTTGTTTGAGTTGACTGAGAGTTTCTTCAGGTTGATTAGCTCAAATCCAATAGTGTTCGGCAGCATTGTAAGCTCGTTGAAGTTAGCATTCAATTCTTCCAATGACCTGCCAAATGCAAGACATATTAATTTGCATCTTGACGATCGTTTCAAAGTAGCACACCGCAGCTTTTAATATCCATATTTACAAAAATTATTAAGATTCTCAAAGTACTAGTACGATATTATATAAAAATGTTATGCAGTGTTGACAGTTAAATCTTGAATTTTCTGTAACGATATATTCAATTTAACTTCTTTATTCAAATTTGATGTTTAATATGGTATAAAGTACAAATCTTTTCTGTTCTAACTATTTCATACTTTTTTTTGTCACATGCTAAAATTTTCAGTTTCCATCTTACACATGAATGAGTAATTATTAAATATTGCTACCCCGGTTAGATTTTAAATTTTTATGCTTCTATATTTATGTTGGATTTCTACTTATTATTGGTTGATTTTAAGTTATACGCATAATAAAATAATATAATTAATAGTTTTTTTTTTGTTATAATTAATCCTTATCCTATTCCTATTCATACATATCCTAGCTAGGTAACAACGAAAACCAACCTGCAATTTTCAATAGTTTTAGGGAGAGTTTGGAGAAGATTGCCCGAAACGTTGAGAGTTTTGAGCTTAGACAGACAACAAATGGAGTTTGGGAGAGACTTAAGCTGATTAGAGTGCACATCCAACGCCACCACGTTCAGTAATCTTGCTGTCAGAGACTCTGGCATGCTCTGTCAAATTAATTTAAAAGAATTACTGATATTATTTTTATCTATTACTCTTTCCATCCCATAAATATTATCTATATCTTTAATTATTTCAAAATAATGTTTCATTTGAAAAATAAAGAAGTTACTTTTTCTTGTTACCTTTAATTATAATTACAATTTTTTTTCCTTTTTCAAAGTAAAGATAATTTAAGAAATGAAAATCAAATTTTAATTTAAAATTTTTAAAATTATGTATAAAATCAAAATCAGATATTATACGTGAGATGATAGGAATATATATCGGTAAAACTTTACTATTATAAAAATTAAAAAAGTCAGCACATTTTATATAAATAAACATATATTTTATATATATAAATATATAAATAAATAAATATACATATACTTATCAGATTGTGGGTAAAATACTTGTAGGCCAAGCTGGTCAGCATAAACAAAGCCGTATTTTGAAAAACTCACAATTTTGTACGGCCCTTGTTCTTTTCAACTCAATCAATAGCAATTACTAGTACTATTACATTGATTTTTTTTTTTATAAGGGTGAGAGAATCTTAGTTTTTTTAGGATCAAAATTGTTTTATTTCAAACCAGAGTAATTAGTAGTAATATTACAATGAATATTTGTTGTCAACAAAATTTATAATAAATACAAATTTCTTCATTCTAAGATCAAAACAGATAAAAAATCTAAGAAAATACAAATATTGGATTTATAGATTATTAATTAAAGAAGATTGTTGACAGCAAAAATTAAATCTAAACTTTATAAGCGAAATATTTAATATTTATCAACTCAATCAATTTCATTTGCATATTACATTGGACATCAAAGCTTAGGACTTTTTGTATTTTTTTTTTTTTTGGCCGGAAGGACATTTTGTATTCTAGACTAAACTTTTATAGTTATAAATAAATAAATGATATAAATTGAAAAAGCACAAATCCATAGTCAGATGCTAGTTCGGGTATTAAATCCAAGACCAATGATGTTATTTATGTGTATATATATATATATATAACATTATTATATATATAAAGGAGGGATCCAATTATATAAGGATAAATGTTACAATTTGTTTATATTTATACTTAATCATTTTGATCCAAATATATAAAAAAAAATGTAATACTTATGTTAGTATAAGTGTATTTTTTTTATATATATTTATAAAAATTATCAAATGCACTTATAATGAAATTTTAGATTTCATAAGAAAGATGGCACATAATTTTAAAAATATATTTTAAAAAAAGAATTAATTAAAATAAAATTTTAACAAGTGTCAAACTTACATATATATATATATATATATATAACAGCAAGATAAATTATTTGAAATAAAGGATTGTAATATAAATACATAGTATAATTATAAAAGGATTTTTTTTTTCGGGGGGGAAGGGGCGGGGAGAGGGAACAAAAAGAGAGACAATTTACGAATGGTTTGTGAATGAAAAAAACATAGGAAGAATGACAAGAATTTCAGGATCTAGCTAATTTCTCTCCATTACTTTTTTTTAGAGGGATAGAGGATGAGATAATGGGATTTGAACTCCCATTGTATATATGTATCTTCTTAAATTTTCTTTATCCACTAAATCAACAAGAAGTTGAAACCTATCTATTACTTTTTAATATTTCTTTAATACAGTATTCAAATATATATTATCATATTCATCAGATTTTGTGACTATGTAGAGGAAAAAGGTTATTCTGTTAATTATAGATAATTTCTTCATTCAATTTTATCCTCCTTTCCCGTGTCTTGCGTGATGAGAGGAAAAGTAAAGCAAGGAAGATTTTATTTGGCCTATGAGGGAGGACTAACTCGATCAGAAATTTTGTATTTGAGAAATTAATATGTACAGAGCAGAAGAGGACAGAAAAAAAAAAAAAAGTGAAAAGATAGATAAATAGATACCTGAAGATTATTGTTGGAGAGGTCTAACTTGCAAATAGTAGCCAAATTTATAGAAGGGATTGGTAGAGAATCCAACGACATCCCACTCAAGTCCACAATCTCCACCTTGTCTTCCTCCATCCATCTTCTCCACCCATCTCCCCTCTTGCTCAACTCCATTCTCACTTGCTGCTGTTGCTGTTCGTACATCATATTTTAATAACACTACAACTCCCAATCCCGAAACCCAAAGTGAAAGAATATAAATCTCCAGGTTATTCGTGCAAGAAAGGGGTTGCTTGTTTTGGACTTTTGGTTATAAAAGGCAATGGGGAAGTACAAGGACGTACAGAGGAGCAGTTAGGTTGAAAGAACCGAACAAAGAGAACGCAAGAGATGACGTTAGTGCAAAGACTTGCGAAAGAGAAAGAAGAAAAAAGTACAGAGAGCCGTATGGTTAGGGAATAGAGAGTTGCGAGGCCACGTCTTCCACTCGACAAAGTCAACCCCTTCCCTTCCTCCTCCCTCTGTTCCCCTTCGGCTGCCCGCGAATCCCGCGAATCCTTTCTCATTATTCTCTTTTTTAAGACTAAAATCCATTTGGGTTCGAAAGGGTATTTTGTTTTTTGAAACTATATATTTCGAAATAATTACGAATATATTAATAGATTTTCAAGAAAAATGAATTCGAAATTCTTATCAACCAGTTAATTTGTAATTGAATTTTTATTTATTGACCAAACAAAGAGTAAAGGCCTCATTCTTTTAAGTCAAACCAAATATTCTTTTAACTTAAACCAAAACGGAACCTTAAAAGAATTGGAAATTTCTCTTTAATAGAATAGGAGGTTTACTTACTCAGTTTTTCTTTGAGGCGAATTCAAAATTGTTCGAATTGTATAATCGTCAATTACTGACATTGGTAAACGGCCCAAAGCAATTTGATTATAATTCAATTCGTGACGGTCGTAAGTAGAAAGTTCATATTCTTCAGTCATTGATAAACAATTTGTTGGACAATACTCAACGCAGTTACCACAAAATATACAAATTCCGAAATCAATACTGTAATTAAGCAATCGTTTTTTTCTAATATCCGTTTCAAATTTCCAATCAACAACAGGCAGATCTATAGGGCATACACGAACACATACTTCACAAGCAATGCATTTATCAAATTCAAAATGGATTCGCCCACGGAAACGCTCTGATGCGATTAATTTTTCATAAGGGTATTGAATAGTTACAGGTAAACGATTTGCGTGGGATAAGGTAATCATGAAACCTTGACCAATGTACCTTGCTGCTCGGACTGTTTGGTGGCCATAATTCATGAACCCAGTTACCATAGGGAACATATCGTGAATATCTATGAATAATTTTATGTTTGTTTCTTTCTCTTGTTTGAACCAAGTCATGAATCTCGTATTCTTTTTTTCTTTACAGTGAAAGAAGTTGGAAAGAAGTTGTTAATAATAGATTACCGAGAGAAATGGGTAAAAGAAATTTCCATCCAAGATTTAATAATTGGTCCATTCTTAACCTAGGTAAAGTCCATCTTGTTGCGATAGAAATAAACAAAAACAAATAAGTTTTAGCTAATGTAATAAAGATACCAATTGTCGTTCCAAAGATTCCATTCATTTTATTTATTTCAAATAGCTCAGGGACGAATACGTACGGAATGGAAATATTCCAACCCCCCAAGTAAAGAACTGTTACAAATAAGGAAGAAAGTAATAGATTTAGATAGGAAGCAACATAAAATAAACCAAATTTGATACCCGAATATTCGGTTTGATACCCTGCTACTAATTCTTCCTCGGCTTCTGGTAAATCAAAAGGTAATCTCTCACATTCTGCTAGAGAAGAAATTAGAAAAACGATAAACCCTATTGGCTGACGCCACAAATTCCATCCCCAAACCCCATATTTTGATTGCGCCTCAACTATATCAACTGTACTTGAGCTGTTAGATAATTATAGTCGATGATAACATCACTGTTCCCATCGCTAGTCCAAAACCGTACATGAGGTTTTCAACTCATACGGCTCCTCGTGGGTCACAAATAAATTTAAGGACCGAATCAGTATTATTTCTCTTCGTATGGTTGTAGAATAGATAGAGAAAAAATGGATTGGAAGGTCCAAAATTATACCAATGGAATTCTGTCTGCTATATTATGAAGAATAAAAAAAGTGCTTCTGAATTGATCTCGCCCGTTACTAATTTCAATTTTTATTTGTTGAGTAATAACTTAAGCCTTCAATAAAATACTTCTTGTAGAAATATCAATAGATATTTCAACCCATTGTTTTCGATTACGAAAAAAATTAAATATTACATTAGCTCATAAATCATGACACAGATTATATCTCTCTATATATATGAAAGAAAGAATAAAAAAAAAAAAAATATTTATTTTTTATTCTTTCTTTTTCGTTCCTATTCTTCTTTCTGATCTGAGAAAATTACGAATGGGGGCTTAAACTAAAAAATAGTAAAGGATTATTTCGTTCCTGATAGTCATTACTTTAATCGGTGGATAGGAGCATACTCTGGACCGGAATCGTGGGTAGTACTGCCTACTCATTTCTACTAATTTAAAGCCCCAATTAGTATTCTTTTTATGTTATCCAGAAATATCCTTTTTATATAATTTACATAATCTCCATTACTAATCCTTTGTGTATTTTGGTGTTCCTAACCATCCACTCATTTTTTTGTTCAATCCCCCGTTTGGTTTGGCAATACATGTATGGGAATCTATCATGTATGGGAATCTATACAAAGGATAGCCAAAACTCTATACGGTTGATCTTTTGAGCCCGCTTCAAGCTAGATTGACTAATCAACCCGTCTTGGGGTAAAGACTTCTTCCACTTATGTTTTCTTCCACTTAACTCTTGTACATAGGAAATGAGATTAAATTTTTTTTTGTTTAATTTACTGCGAATTTATAAGCTGCTTTCTTTCACTCATATATAACTATCTAATTTAGTTTATCAACCTGAAGGATAATAAAATAACGAAGATATCTATTCAATCCATTCAGCTTATTTTATAGAACGAAAGGAATAGGGAAAAGAAAAGTTTATATTTCAACGAATCGCACGTAGAGATATTGATAAAACACATAGAGTTAATGGTATTTCATAACTAATCGATTGAGCAGCAGCTCGCAGACCACCTAAAAAGGAATATTTATTATTTGATCCGTATCCTGACATAAGAAGTCCAACAGGAGCAATACTTGAAATGGCAATCCATAAAAAAATACCGATATTGAGATCGGCTAAAATAAGGCGAGAGCTAAAAGGAATTACTGAAAAACTTAGTAAAATGGATATGACTGCTATAGACGGTCCAATACGGAATAAACGAGTATTTCCTCTAGATGGAAGAATATTCTCTTTGAAAAGCAGTTTTGTTCCATCTGCTAGAGCTTGAAGAATTCCCAAAGGGCCGGCGTATTCAGGCCCAATACGTTGTTGTATTCCTGCAGATATTTCTCTTTCTAACCATACAATTACTAGTACACCTATTGTGATTCCCAATACAAGAGTCAAAATAGGGACAAACATCCATATGATCCCATAGACCTCTTTTAAGGATTCCAATCTGTAAAAGGAATTGATATCTTCTACTTCTGTTGTATAAATTATCATTTCAACGATCAACTTCTCCCATAATGATATCTATGCTACCTAGTATCGTCATAATATCAGCCAATTTCATTCTTTTAACTAACTGAGGAAGAATTTGCAAATTGATAAAACCCGGCGGGCGAATTTTCCATCTCCAAGGAAAACCACTTTGATCTCCTATCAGAAAAATTCCTAATTCTCCCTTTGGGGCTTCCATTCTCGCATAAAGTTCTTGTCTCGGTAATTCAAATGTAGGAGAAGGTTTTTTACTAATGAATCGATATTCAAAATCATTCCATTCTGGATCCCTTTCTCGATCAAAACATCGGATTTCTAAATTCTCATAGGGACCCCCCGGAATTCCTTCCAGGGCCTGTTGAATTATTTTTATGGATTCCGTCATTTCACTGATTCGGACTAAATAACGAGCTAATGAATCTCCTTCTTTTTGCCACTGGATTTCCCAATCAAATTCGTCGTAACACTCATAATGATCAACTTTACGAAGATCCCATTTGATTCCAGAGGCTCGTAGCATTGGGCCGGATAGACCCCAATTTATTGCTTCTTCTCCACCAATAACCCCTACCCCTTCAACTCGTTCTAAAAAAATAGGATTTCGCGTAATAAGTTTTTGATATTCAACAATTCCTGTTAAAAAATAATCACAGAAATCCAAACATTTATCTATCCAGCCATAGGGTAGATCGGCCGCTACTCCTCCGATACGAAAATAATTATGCATCATTCTCATACCGGTGGCAGCTTCGAATAGATCATATACTAATTCTCTTTCTCTGAAAATATAGAAAAAGGGGGTCTGTGCACCAATATCGGCCATAAAAGGTCCAAGCCATAATAGATGAGAAGCTATACGACTCAACTCCAACATAATTACTCTGATATAGCTGGCTCTTTTAGGGACTTGAATATTGCCCAATTGTTCTGGTCCATTTACGGTTATTGCTTCCGTGAACATAGTGGCTAAATAATCCCAACGTGTTACATAAGGCAAATATTGTATAATTGTTCGGTTTTCCGCAATTTTTTCCATTCCTCTGTGTAAATAACCTAATATTGGTTCACAGTCAACAACATCTTCACCATCTAGAGTAACGATGAGACGAAGAACACCGTGCATTGATGGGTGGTGAGGTCCCATATTGACTATCATAAGGTCTTTTTCTGTAGCTGATAGATTCATAAGTTTTTCCTCGATTCATTCTTACATGAATTGTTGAAAACGAAAAGAAGTACATCAAAATGAAAAATATAATAAATCGACTAATTCAATCAAATTAACGATTTTTTGATTCCCGAATATCCAACTCACTAATTAATTCTTTATAACGTATGTTATTTTTCTTTGATAAATAAGACAGAAGCCGTTGACGTTTTCCTAGAATTTTACGTAGACCTCTCTGAGATAAATAGTCTTTTTTGTGCAATTCCAAATGTGAAGTAAGTCTTCGTATCTTATTGGTGAAACTGACTATTTGAAATTCAACGGACCCCTTGTTTTCTTCTTTTTTTTCTTGAAAAATAACTGAGATGAATGAATTTTTTACCATAAAACAAAAATTTCTCTCCCCCTTTTTTTGAATGTGAATTTTACTGATCAGTAATAATAATAATACCATTCATTTTAATATGCACAATGATTTTAAGTTCGTTATGAACTTTATAATTTTTTCAAATAAAATTAATCAATCCGGTTTTCAATCATAATATATGGAAAAATGTACCATTGACGAATTTTCAAACGCGGATACATATGTATCCTTACCATACTGAAACGACTGCCATTATTACTATTAAACCAATAGCGATTCATACAAGCTAAATCTTCTAATCGATAATTGGGCCAA